TCGAAGTTACAACAACACCATAAATCGGTTTTGGTCATGGTGTGCTTAAAAAAATTTGACAGCTGGTCATTAAAAGACTATAGAAGGTTTTCAGCTTTCTTATCATCAGTTACGCATCCAAAACCAAAACCACTACAATACAATTTCATACCAGCTTGCAATATAAAGTTGGTCTTTGCAACGAACTTCAATTCAGATTTCATATCTCAACACAAGGATGCTCATGTTATGAGATAGATCCTTAGGTTTGTGGTGTTAATTTGGATGCCAAAAGATCACAATGATGGACAGTAATTTCATAAATCAAATTAGGTGAAGGAGACATTATTACACTAGAAATTAGGCAAACGATAGATTTGGAAGACTGTCTACATGATTTTTGAATTTATTAAGTCAATATGCATCTCACTGAGGCATTGAATATCATTTGATCAGTATTAAGGTAAGTAAGAAATTAAAGCAAAGATGGGAAAGCAGTAAAGTGTTAAAAAATGATAAAATTTAATTCATTTCAAATTGCAGCTTCACACTTAAAATTCTAAAGAATATGTAAAGTATGTCAAAACATCTAAAACACATCAGAAAATCCATAAAAAATTAAGAAAAAAAACCCCCAAAATAAGTTGTAACAATGATTTTTGTAAAATTAATGATTGAGCATTTTTTGCAAACAATCTTGTTCTTTCATGTTTTTCCACAGACTTTCCCAAAAATTATGATACCAAAACATGGATTTGGAATTTCTATCTTAATGTTTTGTGCTGTTTAAGTTGTTATGACTGACAAAACTCTGAATATTCCCATTTAATTCCAAAGACACAAAAATAAATAAAAATAATAAAATTGTTAAATTAAACAATCCAAAAAATGACAATAAACATGAATAGTAAAACAAAAGATGCCAAAAAACCCAAAAGTCAACAGCCTAAGACCAAAACACAGGGAATCTCGCATATTTGCATATTGTGTGAATGACTTGACAGAAAATAAAGAAGAATTACTTGGAAAATCCTAGCAATTTAAAGATAATTTTTTTTGGTGTGGTTCGCAGATTCTTAATATTAAAATTATTGAGATCTGTTGGCAGGCGTTGTGAGTTGGAGAACATTCGTGGATGAAATTGTTTTGGAAGTTACTATAGAATATCTAGATTAGAATGGAGTACACAACATTGTTACAGTTTTTCAATAGAATGGAGTTGTTACTGAAATTTGCCCGCTGACATTTTCGTACTGCCTTTTGCCCATTGATATATTTGTCCACTGATAACTGAGCACACTTGTATGTTAGTCCACTATTATAGTAGAAGACCAAAACCGCACTCAGCATGTGAGTTTTTCAACTACTCACTGTAGATATGTTGAAATATTCAACGGTTTATTTGAATTTGAATCGGTAAACCGTGATCAGTTTCGCGGGATACCAACAAGCAGTCGGGAGCAGCTTTAGAAACAAATATTAAGTTATCAGGTAAATGTAAGTATTTAAAGCGTGAGATCTACATATTGGCGACGAGGATAAACCAAATGAATAGCATAGCGTAAAGAAAATGACCAAATAAGAAGGAATTTTAGGAATTGAAAAGTTGGAAAAAATACAAGTTGAAAACGCAGTCGAGCTGCAGAGAACAGAGCGCAGTTGAGCTGCAATTAACAAAGGCAGTTGAGCTGCAAGACGATTAAAAACAGTAGAGCTGTTAAGAATATAAGCAGTAGAGCTGCATTGAGGAATTAAGGATAAAAATGGACAGGAATGGAAACATTTTATTAGAAAATTTTGAATTTTGTGAAAGCAGTTGAGCTGCAATTATATTGAGAAATGAGGATACAGGATCCTTGCAACGTCGAAATAAAGTGCATGTTAAGCAGATTCCAGATGATGTATCTATGAACTTGAGTGATCCAGTAATAGAGGAGGTTGTGAGGCCGAAAAGGAAAATGCAAAAGCCTTCTAAGTTTACAGATTTTATGGATTGGGATAATTTGAAATAGTTGAATAAAGAATATATATAAAAGGAAAAAAAGGGGGAAGGGGTCCCCTTAAGGCACATTAAGCTTTTAAAAGGGGGAAAGATGTAGATATGTTGAAATATTCAACGGTTTATTTGAATTTGAATCGGTAAACCGTGATCAGTTTCGCGGGATACCAACAAGCAGTCGGGAGCAGCTTTAGAAACAAATATTAAGTTATCAGGTAAATGTAAGTATTTAAAGCGTGAGATCTACACTCACAACAACGCAGTTACAGACAAAATCATGCTTAATTCAGCTGCAGATGAGAAAATAAAGGCATTTTCAAATTAATCAAGTGAAAAGTTTCAAAATGGTGTCCTCAAGGACACTCTGTCCAAGACACTCAAGCTGTGGAACTGATAAATCAAGTTTTTATGGTTTGCTAAGTTCTCTTCTTCTAGAGGGTTTGCATATGCAAGATTAGAGAACAGATTTAGTAATGCTTGGGTACTTTTGATTATTTTGACTAGTTTAGCAATCTTGGGAACATCAAAGGGAAATGATTCAAGCTGAGGAACATAAAGGAACATTTAAAAGCAAACTCCGATATTAGCAGACGTAGCAAGGGGGGGAGGGGGGGGGGGGGATTTAGGGGACAAATTTTTCTGGTCATCAGAAATTTCTTCATTTTTCTAGGGATTTTTTTAAAAAATTTCGTAAAAATGCCCCTTGCACTTTTTTGTGCCCCACTTCAAATTCCTAGCTACGCCCCTGTGCAGGAGAACACTTTTTTTCTTAAGCAACGTTCCTTGATTTTTATGTCAATTTTTTATTATTACTTTGAGAATCTTGCACGTTTATTTTTGAACTTAAAATTCAAGTTATTAATATTTATGTATAATCAGCAGACATGTCAACTACAAGCTGCAATTAATTAGATGTAATTCAATAACTCCTATTATTGTCATTAAAGTGCTTTAATTTTAGAAACTATCAATTACACCGAATTTAATCATCTCACGTTTCATTTTACACACATAAAAGTGATGAAAATAATTCAAGTCAAGATATATAGATGTGCTCATACAAAAATATCGCAGTTTTTAAACGTCAAAAATTTGAATATTCTAAAAACACTAACACTATAAAAGAAAATTTTCAATTTTTGTTTTGCAAAATTTTCAACTTTCTGTTAAGTTTTGTTGATACAGGAGTATTGCAAATGCTTTGCTATAATTAAAAGTAACTGACTAAAGTCAAATGTTGTTGCATCTGTCGATATTTAAATGAAAACTTGAAAATAGAAAATTTTAAAAATTTTTGTTTGTATAAGTTCACAAAAAATAGTATGGTCGAGTATGGTCAAGTATACTCTGTATGAGCCCATCTATATATCTTGATTCAAGTTTAATTCAGGGGAAGCTCAGTTTTTTGAACCGTCATTTAAAGTCTGTTTTTGTTTATTTTTGGGAATTCCGTAAACTAAACAAGGCAAAAATTGATCAATAAAATGTTGACTGGTTAGTGAGAAAGCGTAAGTGGCGCTCATTTAAGACATTTTATGAATGAAAAATAAAAATGAGAGAATGTGAACAAAAATTTATAAAGATAATGTAAATAAACAGAGAATATAAGACTCTCACACGTGTGAGATATGGAATCAAATGTTTGAGTGCGTTTTTGCTTTATTTATGTTTTTTGTTGAATTTTCTGATGCCTGACTATGTTTATTTTTGTTCATTAATTCTTGGCAAAAATGCAAAATTTTGACAGCTAAGAACTTTTCACTCAACAAAAATTTTTAAGAATTTTGAAAATTTATATTTGGATTTTCCAAAAACTTCTTCAAAAATCAACAAAAAAAAACATAAAAAAGATTGGATCTGCCGGGTATCGATCCCGGTACCTCTCACATGCTAAGCGAGCGCTCTACCATCTGAGCTACAAACCCGATTAGTTTCACATAATCGAACCTGAATAAATTGTCAATTTAAACTTGCACAATTTTTAAAAACTCGCATTTTTTTCCAGTCACGACGCAAAAATGAAAAAAAAAACTTGTTTTTGTTGTTGTTGTTGCAGTTGCTGCTTGGCTGTGGACAGAAAAGAAACTTATAACAATTTATTCATGATCAACTTGAGAAGTGACCTTGACCGATGACTGGATTGTGATTAAGTTCGAAGAGAAATTGAGAGTTTTTGAGGTATTTAAATGACATGATAAGGTGGCATGCATGTGGTTGCATGTATACGAAGTGGGTGGCATTGGTTTAGGAAGTGGAATTTTTAGGAGTTTTAACTGAGTTTTGTACATTTGCCTTATGGACACTTGCCCACGGATACTTCCCCACTAGACACTTTCCCAATGGTACCTTTGCTCACTGGACACTTCTTCACTCGGGTATTTTTTTGAATTATTTTAAAAACTTTGCTCTTAAATCAACATATTCAGGATTTGCAGACCCGAGTTTCACTAGAGCCATTACAGCTTTGTCAACATGTATGCTTTAAAATTGTCAAAAACACATGCGCAAAGCTAGTCATAGATGCAATCGATTGCTCAGACATTTTGAAACAAAAAGAATGAAAACATATCAAAATAAATCTTATTTTTTGTAATCCGCATTTTGTGTCAGCTCCTTACCTTGATCATAAAATGTGTGGAAATCCCATTCATAAAAATTGCTTAAAAAAATCCGTTTTGTTTTTGCAGAATCACTGTGAGATTGTAAAAAATTCAATTATTCAAATGTGTTACAAGACGATTCTTGGAAATTTTGATATTTTTCTTACAATTTTTTTGGGGATTCCGCTGTTGATGGTTTGTGTTTTGGTTAAGACATGTTTTAAAAAGTATTTTTGGGTTTTTTTTTGAAAAGTTAAAATTTTTGCAATTTTAGAAACCTTCAAATAAGTTAAAAATGTGTAAGATTGCCTGCCTTTACTAGACTACTTTAGTGAAAAATTGCTTTTAATTCCAACACAGCTTTATTTTTAATAAATTCTTTATTTTTCACAATTCAACATTCATTTTAAAAAAAAGCATTTTCACTTCAATGTTGTGACACTTCTGATCCATGGAATGAAGCTACTGACATTAACATAAACTCCAGGAATGTTTTGTCCACAATTAAGTCCCCATGCGACTAATCCTTGGACATACCACTGACCAGCAACGTTACAAACTAAAGGTGCACCTCCGTCACCTGCATTTTTAATTTATATAAATTTATAAGTTGTGTATTGAGTGGATAAATGAATCTTACCAGTGCAGGCATCCTTTCCAACCTCACCTGAAAATAAGATTTTTTTTCAATTATATAAATATCCAATAAGTCTAGCCCAATATTAGATCTTACCTCCAGCACACAAAAAGCTTTCTTTATCCAAAATAAAAGTTCTTTTTAATGCAGTTTGTCGCAGTCTATTTTGACAATCTGTTGAATCAATTAATGGAACATCCACAGCCTTCATAATGGCTTGATTAGTTCCATTAACAAAGTCATTTTGACCAAAACCTATAATTTTTTTACATTAATTTACTTTAAATGCACTTTTAAAATTTTTTGAGGTTATATTACCTGAGATCCAGCATCTTGTTGGAGCTGGAATTGGCTTAGCTGTTGAAAAAATGAAGATAATTATTGGATCCGAAAAGATTACTGTTGAGGCAATTTCAAGGACTACTCAGGGTGCCTTACAATAGTCACTGACTAGTAAGCAGGCGCATAGCCAAGAGGGTCTTGCCCCCCCCCCCCCCCCCCTTAAGCGTTTTAAACCGCAGCGAAAGCACAGCCCAAACCGCTTAAGAGGGGGACAGGACCCTCCTACGCACTTGATAGTAAGGCTCAAGAGTATAATAAGAATTCAAGGAAGAGACTTCGAGTAGCTCTAGAAATTCACTCTTGGTATATTTTAAGTCACCTGGCAAGCAAGCAGTTGTAATTGTCGGGTATCTTCCCAATGGAACTGGACTAAAAATTTGAAAAAAATTGCGTTAATTTTTAATATCTTTTTGAATTTCTTTCAAGGGGAACACAACGTTGAGAAAATAAATTTTTAATAGATATCCCCAATCTCATTGACAGTTGAAATTTCAATCAAAATAATGAGTTATCATCATATCAACATCTTCTGGCTTAAAAATTTTTTTCCATATTTATTTTTCCACCATGTAATGTTCCCCTTGATTTATCACTCACCTAGTAAGTCTCAAAACAATCAAATCATTCTTCAAATTAGTTTTGTTATATTTTGGATGAACAAAAACTTTTGACACATTCAGCTCCAGGTATGGAAATGGGACGTTCATCGATGATGTGTCCTGTAAGAATATTTTGTTAAGTAACACTATTATTAATCATGAAAAGTCAATTTGTGACTTACCCACACACCCAATCTAACTTTGAAGGTCGTGTTGCTACTATTGATTGAACAAAAAATTAACAATTTATAAAAACTGTGCAAAAAAGTTAAAATTACTCACGCAGGAAAGCGTTCGAATCGGTGAGCAACAGACATGACATGAAATTGATCGATAAGAACACCAGCGCCGACATAAAATTGCTTGTTGTATGTAAAAATGATTGTTTCCCATGGAAATTGTCCATACTTTGCTCTTCCTGTTACAATCAATTAGTTGTGACATTAAAGATTGTTTAAATGATTACTTACCAGCTGGTGGTGCAGCTGCAGACGAAACTGGGGGGAATGATACTCCACCTGAAAGTTTGCATCAAAAAAATGTCATAGCACTGCTTAAATACTGCAAAGCTAGTAAGTTCTTACACTGATAACCGGTTGTTGGACAACAAAGCTCCAAAAGGTCAGGCTTGACACAAAATGTTGGTGACACTGTCTCTACATTAATACCGGTTGATATAGGTGACGTAATTGTTGCATTGGTCCCGTAACTATTGTAGTTTAAAATTCCAGACTGGATAAAAATAGTAAAAAAATTGGCAGGTAGGATTTTAATAGTCTCGAATAGCACAAGTCGGCAAAAAGATAAAAAATTTAGCATCAAGGTTTCGTGACTCTGGATTTAAAGCGAATTACCATATTTATTTCCAAAACTAGATTTGTGTTAACTTAACTGTGTGCATCACTAAACTCAGTCAACTTATTAAGTCGACAATTAAGTATCTCAAGCAGAGATGACACAAAGTTGCCCAGATTTTGCCTTTGATCTAGCAAAGTCATGCTTTGCAAAGGCACAAAAAAGGCAAATGCAAAAAAAATTGCCTTTGACAAAGGCAAAGGCTTGTGTCTTTGATTTCAAATTGCCTACGCTCAGGCCAACCTTTTTAAAGTCAAGTGCTAGGTATCAACACTGATCTCAAAATTTTACATACGCGGTGTCAAGCAAGCTATTTTGTAAAAATCTCACGATTCTTTACTTAAGTACAACTAATGAAAGTAAGTAAGTAGCACGATTTTAGCTATGAAGAGGTTAACAATAGACAAGTGACAAAATTTGGACACATGGTTGAATCAAGGCTGTCGTCCAGGAGTTCAGAGTAGTCCTGGAATGGTGAGGTTGGCTTAAAGAGCTGATGTTTGAATCTATTTCTTACGATTCTTCTAATTGTTTCTGTTGAAGGATGTCCTGGGAATTTTAAAAACCAGCTCCTTATAGTGAGACTAGTTAAGTATAGGCACGATTATATGCACTTAATCATCTTAATGCTAAAGATTTAAACGCAAAAAAGTGATCTATGGAAAATAAAACAGTTGTACAGCCCGGGGTTATGACTTTAGTAAATGACACCTGTTGTTACCCATTGCTCAACTATTTAAGTATATATTCCTCAAAAACATGAACTCAATTCCAGTTCACAAGTGAATTTTTAAGTAATGAAATGCAATATTTTATCAGGTCTTATAATATTAGGCTATATCTCATCTATAAGATGTAAAATTGTTCAAATTGAAGATGGAAAGTTGGAAGGAACATTAATGAAGACTCGTAAAGGTTTTGATGTTTACGCGTTCCTTAAAATTCCTTTTGCAGAACCACCAGTTGGAAAACTACGATTTCAGCCACCAGTTCCAAAGAAAAAGTGGAATGAGATTTTAAATGCAACAGAATTTGGACCAGCTTGCATGCAAAATGCCAATGGCTTAACAGTTTCTGAAGATTGTCTTCATTTAAATGTCTTTACAAAGGATTTAGATCCAGCTGAATTGAAGCCAGTCATTGTTTATATCCATTATGGGGTAAGTTGTGCTGATTTACAGATTTTCTTATTCCAAAGCATCTCATACAGGCTTTCGTAACTGGATCTTCTGTTTTTGGTTGTCATCCTGGTTATCTTCTCGATCGTGACGTCATGCTTGTAACTATAAACTATCGACTTGGACCATTTGGGTTTCTCGCAACGGGAACAAAAGATGCATATGGAAATATGGGACTTAAAGATCAATCCTTAGCATTAAAATGGATTAAAAAGAATATCGATAAATTTGGTGGTGATCCAGATCAAGTCACAATCACTGGATTGTCGGCTGGTGGATTTTCAGTTACATCTCATATCGCTTCGGAAATGTCAAAAGGATTGTTTAAAAGAGCTATTGCACTGAGTGGTGCTATCACATGGCAAACTGGTCTGGATAGGAATAATATTGATAAAGCTAAGCAAATGGCTTTGAGGCTCAACTGTCCAATAAATTTGAATGTATTGGTTAAGTGTTTGAAAACGGTGAGTCACATATGTCTGTCAGTTGGCTGTCAGTTGGCTGTCAGTTGGCTGTCATTCAACCATACATCAAACATGACTTACAGACTAATCCATTAATATAAATTGAAAATAGAAATCTGCCATTGAGATAGTGCAAGTGAGTGTAGATGGCTATTTTGGATGTCTTTCAATGCCGTGGGTTCCAGTTGTTGAGCCAGACTTGGGTCAAGAACGATTTTTTACAGACGATCCAAACAAGTTGTTAAAAACTGGAAAGTTCAATAGAGTTCCTGTAATGATTGGTGTCACAGCAGATGACTTTATATCACCTGTTGCTAGTAAGGAAGCTTTAAAAGCTTTAAAATTTGTTTAATTATGTCTTGACTTTCAAAATTGACAGGTCTGCTGAACAATGAAGAGTCGTTGGATTTGTTGAATAATAATTTTTCAGAAATTGCATCGAAATGTTTCTTTTTTAAAGGAAATGGAATCAGAACGACCGAAGAAATTGCCAAAATATTTAAAAATCATTATTTACCGTACGATAAAATAGATCAGACAGCATTTAACAGTTTAAGTCAATTAAGTGCAGATGGGATAATTGGCTATGCAGTTCATAGATTTGCACATTATGCTGCACAATTTACTGATGTTTATTACTATAAATTCACTTATATGGGTGAACGTAGCAACTTTCATTATCCAAGGAATAAGCCATATGTAGCTCATCATGGTGATGACATCAACTACATTTTATCATCAAATTATCCACCAGCAATTAAAGAATCTGATCCTGATAATTTTATGGTCGAGCGATTGACAAGAATTTGGGAACAATTTGCAAAGTATGGCAATCCAAACAACAAGACTGATGAAGTTCTGGCTGACTTAAATTGGCCTAAACTCGACACAGTTGATGAATATTTCTTAGACAATGGCAAAAACATGGTTGAAAAGCGTGGTCTTTATCTTGAACGATATCATGTGTGGGATGATTTGGAAAATACATCAAGAATTTCTTATTTTGACAATTCAAATGTTAAAATTATTTTTGGAGTCATTGATAAGAAATCTGACTCTGAAATTGGCAATTTAACGAATGTCATTGACAATTTTTTAAAAGAATCTCTGTCATGAGTTGTCGTACACATGTCGCATATAGAAAACATGGTCAATGATGAAAATCCATGATTAATAAAATTAATTTTGTAAAAATTGATAGACTTTTGGTAATTGAAGGGGAACACAATATGGTGAGAAAAAAATGGTGGAAAATCTCAAAAATCTCTATAAACTTTATATCAATAAGAACATGCTTGTTGCATAGTCGGAAGGCTTTTAAGGGTTGTATATCCTGAGTTATTATTATTATTATTATTATTAATTGTTTATTCATAGGAAAAGCCATCTGAAAAGTATTTAAACATTTTCAGGTGCCATAAAAACCTTGAGTTACAAAGACTGTTCAATTGCGCACTTTTGAGCGGGACAGTCCTACCTAAAATTCTTAACTTCCCACTATTTTAAACCTGTTTTACTTGGGAAATGCTTGAAAATTGATTTTGTCCCATTTTTGGTACTGAAATCCGGGTATGTTCCATTTTTTGATCAAAAATCTGCAAAACCCGATGGACAGCAGTCTATACTTATATCCATTATCATCCTTAACCTGCATTTTAACACTTTCTCCTGATCTACCCAAATACATACTCATATCTTACCACAAACCTACTCCTTTCCTATTTTTCACTTACATTTGCCCTTACCCAAACCTACGTCCATCTATGTCCATGCTCCCAATTCTACCCTAGCATCATCATAATGTGACTTATCTCGTTCCCATCACTAGTCAAGTCACTTTAAAAAAAAAACAATCATTGTACTCACATTTATAATTCTAGGCTCAATCACTCCTGACCCATCGTCTTCAGGTTCTGTTGCATTCCCATTGAGAACAGTGTTGCATGAATTTGTTGGCACACACAGACAGTTGTTCATATTTGTTGAAGATCTGTCGAAAAATGACTATTTTACCAATTTTCAAGCATTTTAAAAAATATATAATTTTTACCCTTCAGCGGTTGTCAATTCAGGAGTTGTTGTTGTCCTTCTTATAGCTGAAGTTGTCGATTTTGCTGTTGCTGCCGTTTCTGAAACTAACTGAGCTGCTGATCCACTTGGTTTAATTCTGTCCGAAGGTGTAGATTCAGATGGAGTGGTTGCAGCCTTTTTGGTTGTAATTTTTGCTGAAGTTGTTGGGATTTTGGATGTTGCTTTGGTGCTTGATGTTTTGACTGCTGTTGTAGTTGGTCTAATAGTATGAATGAATAGATCTTACATTAAAGTGTATTGACTCAATAATCAATGACCCAATATGAACTAAATGCTAAAATATTTGCGATTAGAAAGTTACTTTAAACTCAATCGCAGCTTTAAATTTGTCACAATCTCAGATTCGATTATGTGAAACTAATCGGGTTTGTAGCTCAGATGGTAGAGCGCTCGCTTAGCATGTGAGAGGTACCGGGATCGATACCCGGCAGATCCAATCTTTTTGATGCTTTTTCATTTTTTTAAATGATTGAACCCGAGTAGCACAAGTCGGATAATCGAGATGAAATCCTACGCTAGGGCGACGTGGTTACGATCTAAGGGCGAATTTCTCGTCATGACGAAAAATTTGCCCTAAAGTCGCCGTGATATCTTCCTTGCGTAGGATCTCATCTCGATTATCCGACTTGTGCTCTCCGGGGAACTGTTAAAACTTAAGCAATTAAAATGGGTTTTCAAAAAATATATTTACTGCTCTTCTTCCTCCTTTGGAAAAGTCACCTGACACAAAGCCACAGAAATAAGAACAAAAAATATAAAAAACTTCATCCTGAATTCTTTGCAATTGAAATTTAAATAAACGTTGTGTTGACAAATGAAAAGTTCTCAACAAACTAAAATTTCTCGTTGATAAAATTTTTCTGAATGAGAAAAATTGTTTTTTTTTTTCATGGTTTTATGTAAATTTGTACAAAACTTATTTTTCATGTAGAATTTTAACACGGTTCTTCCTCTTGTCTGCGGTTTTTTTCAACAGAAAAAATGTTCTTGAATTTTTTGCTAGGGTTTTTTTGGTAGATTTTGATATTGTAAATATGGGTAGTTAAGGGGTTAAGTTAAGGGGGTCGAAATTTACTTAGTTTTTAAGCGGGGACCCCAAATAAATTGCAAGTTCAGAAAAAAAGTCCAGACTATCTATGTAAGTGCACAAACTTACTGTATTTCTTTCACGGTGGCACTTTTTGCAATAGTTGTTGTCAGCATTTTATCAGCAGGAGTTGGTGTAGTAGTTGAACATGCTGCAAAGTGAGTCTCACGATTAATATAAAAATAGTTAAATTCATTTCAATTGTGATTGAAATTGGTAAAATCCAGAGATCGAAGCTGAAGGTTTTTAAGCCGACGGGGACTTAAATTCGGTTTATAAAATATGTTTTTGTAGCCGCGTTACAAATATGGCTTTGTAAGCTGATTTTAAACCACGCATCTAAGAGTCTTCGATCTCTGCGAAAATTTTTAAACTTCACTGCCAATTGCCTACTTTGGACACGATATTGAAGCAGAGGTTTGCAAAATTTCATTTGATGACACAAAAGATGCAAAACTCATCAAAAATCATCTTATAAACTCTGCAGTTTTGAATGGACATAAGTAACAGTCCACTTACCATCAGAAACAATTATTTGGGTTATAATTTTTAAGGTTAAAAAAGCAACAAAAATTAAAAATTTCATTTTTTGCTTATTTGAAGAAAAAAAACGCAGTTGAAGAGTTGAAAGTTTTCAAATAAACTGAATATTTCGTATTTATTTAGATTGAAATTTAATGTTAAAAAGAAGACCAAAATAATAAATACGCAACCTTTTTTGCTTTAGCTTTAATCCGTGTATTTAAATGTCCAGGTTTTTATTTTATTTCCCATTTTTTGTGTGGATCGAAGTTTTTAATTTGTTTGAATAATTTAACAATTTTTAAAATTTTCCTTTAACATTTAAATTTATTTAAAACTTATTTTCAATTCCAACTTCACATCACCTCCCACATAATCTCTTTTACAAGTTCAACAAAAAAAAAAACATTTGCATTTTACCCAATTCCATGCATAAATTCATCCAAGCATCTCGATTCGATTCATTCACTTTCTGTCCTCACCTTAATTTCCATTCAACTCAAATTAAAAGCATTTTCAAACAAAGAAATTTCGTACTTTTGAACTTTTTTCTGTGCTGTCTCTGCTCTCGATTTTGAGCATCTTGTGGTTCGTTTTACAAGTTTATTGACAACATTTTTAATTAAGTCGATTGTTAAATGGAACATTGAGTTTGAATTTGTAGTTTTGGGGGGACCATGAGTGGATAGGGGTGTCTGGATGATAAAATTCTTATTTTTTTGGTTATATTAAGTTGGTTTAGCAAGATTTTATCAACAAGGTGGGCCTTTGAGCTTATCAAGAGATGTTAAATCAAGTTTATGCGCGTTTTGAACTATATGATGGTAGTCAGAAGGTTTAAGATGGTCAAGACCCTTCCTTGAGAATGAGAGGGAAGCTTTTGAAACTTAATTTGCAAAAACTTTAGTTCACTAAAGATTGGAAGGTTATTTGATCATCAAAGCTAGCCTCTACTACTGTCATAATCATAACAAACTATCCACTCAAACTAAGAACATCAGTAGTCACCCTTAAGTCAATATTCTTACTTACCTTCATTTAAAGTAAAGTTTAAAAAAAATAATAAGCATAAAAATGAGTTTTCAAAGAAAAAAAGAGTTTATTTTGCATGTAAATTAATCGAGTCAAGCTGAAGAATTTGTGATTGAGCTTTCATCAAGTGGAAAAAGCTAGGAAATTGACCTCGAGTTGAAGGAATTTTTTCTATGATTTTAAAGCAAATTGGAAGTTTTAAAGAAAGCTTTTATAATGTTTTGCAGGAGTAAGTATCAATTTTTGTAGAGTCCTTATGACTAGGGTGACCATGTTTTGTGGAAAAAAGAACCTGACAGAAAAATAGTGAGTGAGCTGAAGTGGCTCGGTGGCGGAATGGTTTAGTCTTTCCATACTTAATTATTGCAATACCGATACAGCGATCATGTTCGAGACTCGGCATGGGAAATTTTTCACTTGTCATTTTTCAAATCATATGAGCTGTAAGTGAGGCTACATCCTTTCTGGATGAATTAAAATAAAATAAAGCAACATAATTTTTGTAAAATTAAAAAACTACAGGACTGTCCTCTGAAAAACCAAGCAGATGTTCAGCCTCCTTATGACTGACACAGTTGGCTGATTCAGTCCTTTTTCGAGCTGTACAAAAAGGTAATTCACAACATCAAATTTCATTTTTTTTTTCAATTATCAAAATTAACCTTTTGATCTTCATGACAAGCATGCTACACACATACTTTACTAATCATAATTATTAAATAAAATCAAACTTAATCGCAGCTTTAAATTTGTCTCGATTTCAGATTCGAATATGTGAAACTAATCGGGTTTGTAGCTCAGATGGTAGAGCGCTCGCTTAGCATGTGAGAGGTACCGGGATCGATACCCGGCAGATCCAATTTTCATATTCACACAAAATTTTCAATTTTTGTGAATATATTTTGATGTTATTTTTTTTTAATTATTTGTTTATTTCAATATCTTTTTTATTATTCGAGCTTTTTTAAAAACAATTTTGAATCAGTTGTACTAAAAGGATATTTGAGGAAGAAGATGGAGGTTAACTATAAATTCAGGGGAGCTTTTGATGCAGTTGAATTCTATTTCCCCCATCATGCTTTAGTCCTGGTCCGATCATCATTAAACACTCTGATCTAACTTAATCATCAGTAATGATAATGACAACGACTTTAAACTAGAATCAGAATTTAAATATGGAGATTTTTTTTACTAAGAGCATGAAGCACATCCTAATTTATACAAGAACACCACCTCCCCTCCCCTTCCTAGCCAAATAAGAGAAGAAAAACTTCATCAACAGCTTCATCAGTGAAATTGTAATAAATCATCAATGTTAATTAAATTAGCTCAGTTTAAAAGAACACGGAAGTCACAAAACAGCTCAACAATGGAGGAAAAAGAAGCTTGACTCAGGAATGGAA